GTCACTGTAGGAATGTCCTCTGGGATCTGTAGTGGAAATTTGGACATATCGTGGAGCACTAGAGACTTGCGTGTGACGTAATTGGCACCGGAAAGGGATGTGCGATTGGGATCGAGTGAAGCCCTCTGAGATTTGCGTCCACGATGGTGCTCAAAGCATGCGGGGGATGCTGCAAATAGACTACTGTAGGTTGATGCTTCTCCTTCCCAGTCGAACAAGGTTTCGTCATCGCTGTGCTGCATTATTTCGGCTTGTAGTCGATAGAAGGCCCCTTCCTTCTCGCCATAAGCGATTGGGAGGTTGACGCGAAAAATACCGATGAGGCAATAAAGGAAGACCAGGCAAAAATGTGAATAATTATCATAGCGAGGCAACGTACTAGCTAGGGTTATCCACCAACTGGCAATGTTCCTAGGTGCGTTCTTCTTGGAGCCTAACAACTCCCGAAGTTGCTCCACTACGATACTAGCTAAAGTCTACAAGAAATCTATGCTATAAATGGGCCATGCCTCTTGGTGGGAAGGCCAGAATTACGCTCCGAGCGGCAAAGGTGGGGTCGACAAATTTGAGTGCGTGTGGTCTGAAGAGTAAAAATATAATTCTCTCGCTAGGAACTATCAGATACATCTGTAGAGACTCTGAGAGCCCAGTACGGTCGAATGGGATCACCTCTCACACTGTAGTTCGGTCATACGAAGGCGACCGGGCATCTCTATCTCTTAGAAGCCCACGTGTGGATAAACAAAGTAGCATAGGAAATACGGGAGAGGACATGAGAATCTAGTACCGAGGCAAATGAGCACATTTGTCCACTATATTAGCCTTTAGAGTAGAATTCCAGAACCCAATGTCAACGCTCCGATGGGTTTAGTACATGTGAGTGCGTAACTCACCGAATCGCCCGAAATTTAAAATTCAGGTCGTACTCGTTCAGATATGTCGGCCTACATTATTAGTTGGCACACTCCATGCCACTAGAATCGCTCCTTCCCCACCTCGCAGTATGTCCTCGATGGCATACCCAATTTACAGGTGCTACCTTCATGCCTCAAGCTCAAACACCCCCATTCGACACGGTCTGCCGGCCTAATTGGAGCAATCGCCCAGGTCGTGGTCGATATTGATAGGAGACTCTACACTTCTTTCTCTATTCAGCTGTGGCCATCAATGCCACCTTCTCTGGCGGTTCTCCATTGCCCTCGGAATTACCAGCGTTGGCACGACCTACCCCGTGTAGGATATCGTTTTCGGTTGGAAGTGTACTATTAGACACATATCTAAACAGACAAAGTCGCTCATAATCCGAGAAGCGACTTATGCATAAAAATTAAATGGTGGACGAATCAGTATGGCCACTGGGCGCTATTCGCAGGGCCTGTCTGTTCCGACATGAGGTCTTGAACCCACTTGAGCCACAAGAAATGGAACTCAAGAACCGAATCTGACATTCGTGCTGGTTATGAGAAGCCCGGATTTCAACCGGCTTGATAGGCCACCAACCGCTGCCTATCCCCGACCGAAAACCGTGAGGTTTTTGGAGGGTTCTATGTTCACCTCTAACGACGACTTTTCTCTACCAGGAGTTCGGCGGCCGCTCCCCTTTGAAATCGCCTTTTCCATCTCTTGCTCCCAACCACTACCCTGCCGCTTTCAATCTAGTTTTCCTTATCACCTTTGAATTTTCCGCTCTGTACTTAGTAATGGCCGGTATAATCTGAACCTCTATAAAAACCTTTTTATTTGAACGTCTCAGGACTATGAGTTAGACGGTTTGCCACTTTGTATGCGTTCAGCGGACAAGCCCTTTTTCGTCGCCTTTTTTTTGGCTCCTCCTTCACCCACTGTGACCTTCCCTACAATGCTTCTTACTCCTAATCGAATTCCACTTGTTTGTTGATCGTGCCAAATTAACCTTCGTCAAGCAGACCACACAAATAATGGCCTGCTCAAACCTTGAGCGGGATGATCTGTCTGAGACATCCTCGGTCACCTCGTTTATGCCTTCTTCCTTACACTTGCAGTTTGAGAAATATCCCACTAACTACGAGTAAGAGGGGTCACCGTGTGTGTTCAATTCATTGTGCTTGTTATGCCCGTTCGGATTAG